CAGCTAGCATCAATAATTCACAATAATGGTTAGTTCCTTTGGGTTTTCTTGAATGAAGGGAGGCTGATGTAAGTGTGTTTTTAAAAGGCTTGCACCTAATAACAAATTCATTTGGAAGAATAAAAAGTCAAGAATATCAAAGGAACTAATGAAAAAAAAATGTAAAGGAAGGAGGCTTAGCAGTTCCAGATCTTAAACTATATTATAAGGTAGTAATTATCAAAACTATCTGGTATGGGCTAAGATATAGAGAGGCAGATCAATGGAACAGAGTAGACATATAATTTACAGCAGCTGATAAATATAGTAACTTTGTATTTGACAAGTGTAAAACTTAAGATTTTAGAATAAAAATTCATTATCTGGTAAAAATTGTTGGGAAAACTGGAAAGCAGTGTGGCAGAAATTGGGCATAGACAAATATCTTATACCATTTACCAAGATAAGGTCAAAATGGATACATGACCTAGATGTAAAGAAATATTACAAGAAAATTTGAAGAACATGGAACATATTACTTATCAGACTTATGGATAGATGAACAATTTATGAATAAACAAGATATAGAGGGAAGAGTGAGATATAAAATGGGTAATTTAGATTACATTAAATTAAAAGGTTTTTGTACAAATAAAATGAATGTAGCCAAGCAGAAAATTGGGAAAAACTTTTATAGACAATTTCTCCAATAAAGATTTCATATCTCAAATATATAAAGAACTTTGTAAAATCTATAAGAATACGAGTCATTCCCCAATTGATAAATGATAAAATGATATGAATAGGCAATTTTAAAATAAATCAAAACAATTTTTAGTCATATGAAAAAATGCTTTGAATCTTTATTAATTAGATACATACAAATTAAAACAACCTTAAGATATAATTTTATACCTATCAGATTATCTAAAATGATTGAAGGTGAAAGTGACAAATGTTGGAAGGGTTGTGGAAAAATTGGGACATTAATTCACTGTTGTTGTAATTGTGGACTGATCCAACTATTTTGGAGAACAATCTGGAATTATACCCAAAGAGTTATAAAATTCCCTATATCCTTTGACCTAGCAATACCACTACTAGCTTTATTTCCAAAGATGATTAGGGAAAAAGGAAAAGAACCTATACATTCTAAAATGTTTATAGCAGCTCTCTTTGTAGTGCCAAAGAACTGGAAATTGTGGGGATGCCCATCAACTGGGAAATGGCTGAACAAGTTGTAGTATATGATTGTGATGGAATACTACTGTGCCATAAGAAACGATGAGCTTGATGATCTTAGAAAAACATAGAAAGACTTGCACAAAATAATGAAGAACAAAATGAGCAGAACCAAGAGAACATTGCATACACTAACAGCAATATTGTGTTAAAAACAAATTTGAATGACTAAGTCATTTTGACTATCCTAAATATCCAAATCAACTAGAAAGGACATGTGAAGGAAAACACTATCTACATCCAGAGAAAGAACTGATAAATGGAAGTCTATATGGAATGATTTTACACATATATAGACATATTTGTGTCTAATGGTAGTCATCTCCAGGGTAGAGGAGGGAAGAAAACAATTAATATGTTAACTTTATTATATGTTTAAAAGGAGTAGCAAGTTGTACATAATAGGTTTGCAGTTTTGTGTGAAATCATATTTTTTATTGGACTATGTTATGGAAATGCTTGTTTTATTCCGTAAATTAAAAAACGACTTACACCTGCTTTCCTATGCCTTGTCCCTAGCTCTGAGCTCAATGGTGCCATAGGAAGCTTTAAGATTGAGATTTGTTTCTTTGTTTATCAGATGATGCTTAATTTAAATAATAATCTTTTTTTTTTTATCACCAGGACTCTCTTTAGGTTCTATAGAGGATTTATGATATCGTGGCAATAACTACACCCTTTAAAAAAACCAGATCTCTGATTTCGTTAGCTTAACGTGCTCCCTAGATGGCTTCTTCTATCCATGCAGGTCAGCATCTACTCTCCAAATGAAAGTCTTAGAGAGTTGCTGGGGGACTACGATGTTAAGTGACTTACCTAGGGGCACAGAATGGCATATGGAGAAGGCAAGACTTGAATCCAAGTCTTCCTGGCTCCCAGGCCAGCTCTCTACCCACTAGGTTTCATGGCCTGTAATCTATACATTTATTGTTCTGTTAATGAACAAAAGTTGCCACTGAGAAGCAGAACAGTAATCTAGAAACAGTTCCAGTTGACTTTAGGTCAGTTCTAACTGCCCTGTTAAAATTTATTCCATTAGTCTCCCCATTTATAGGTAAGGACCCAGAGGAATCCTATTTTGGCACTTCACGAATGTACTCTGTTTATGACAGGTCCTTAGAAAGTCATCCCCTCTATTTTTTTTCATGTCTTGAGCCACTGGCAGCCAGTGGAAAAAACCTCTAGTTAAAGTTGAATTTCCTTCTTATCCTTCTCTTGGTTTCAACTGAGATTTGAATCATAAGCAGAAGAGTTTGGATTCTTTCTGGTTGAATCCAGTCCAGACAAGCATTATTGGCTTAGTGCAGTGACTGGCACATAGTAGATGCTTAATAATTGCTTATTGTCTTGGCTTATTCAGTACCTGCTATGTTCTAGAATCTGGAGATATGTAGAAAATATGGAAAAGAGTCCTTTAAGAGCTTACTTTCTGCAGAGAAAGGTTGCTGGGGGATACAATAAATAAACGCCATCAAATCTTCCTCGAAGCAATGAGGTGGTATGGTGCATAGAGCATCGGGCCTGGAGTCAGGATATCTTGTGTCCAAATCCAGCCTCAGAGGCTTACTAGGTGTGTAACCCTGGGCAAGACACTTAACCCACATTTGCCTCAGTTTCTTTATCTATAAGGTGGGGATAATAATAGTACACACCTTATAGGGTTGTTGCAAGGATTAAATAAGATAATAAAGTGCTTAGCACAATGCCTGGCATAGAGTAAGTGCTATATGCATGTTAGCTGTTATTTGCTCTTAGGAGATAGAGCACTGGGTCTGGGGTCAAGAAGACCTGAGTTTCTCAGTATAGATGCTCATTAGATCTGTGATGCTGCTCAAGTCATTTAACTTCTGTTTGCCTCTTTTTCCTCAACTATAAAATGGGGATAATAATAGCATCTATTTTCAGGGTTGTTGTGAGGATCAATTCTGAGTTACTATTTTCTAAAACTGTGCCTGGCATGCAGTAGGTGTTTAATAAATGCTTGTTTCCTTCCCTCCGCAAGGCTCACCCAGAGCTCAAAGTAGGGATATATACCAAAACCACTGAATTGTTTATTTCAACCTTTTGAGGTTGAATAGACCTTTGTTTGGCTCTCTGCAATAAAGACCCAATTCACTGCTCTTTAATTTGTATGTATGTCATATTTTTCTGTTACACTGTGGGACCAGAATGACATTTCCATCTATCAGATCTCTAGGTAACTTTAGAGACTAAGAGGAGAAATTCAAATGTTTCAACAGCAATTTTTAAACGTCTGATGGCTTAAGGACATCAGTGTTAAGAGGCAGAACTAGCTGACTGACATTTGTATAGATTAAAATATTCAATAAGAGAAACTTTAAGCTTTAAGGTGAATTCTATTTAATTCAATTCAGCAGACACTTATTAAGCACCTACTATGTGCAATGCATTGTGCTAGGCTCTGGAGATTGACCAGGCAAATGAATAATTTTTTTTTGGGAAGTACTCTTTAATTTGCATCATTATATCTGATGCCTAATACATAGCGGCCAATTGATAAATACCACAGCCTATCAAAGTCAGCAGAGACCTCAGAAATTGTTTAGTCCAACGATTCTCAAACTTTCTGGTCTCAAGATGCCTTTATACTCTTAAAAATTAGTGAGTACCCCAAAGAACATTTGTTTATGTAGGTTAAGTCTATTGATATTTACTTTATTAGAAATTAAAGCTTCTTAACATTATTATGAAAATAGTTTGGACCTTATGGATCCATGAAAGACTTTGATAACCCCCAGTGGGGTCCTTGAACCCCACTCTAAGACCACTCATCCAGTCTAAAAGGTACCTGACTGTGAATTCTGACTCTGACACCTACTAATTGTGGGCAAATTATTTAACTTTTCTGAGTTTTAGTTTTTTCATTTGTAAAATGGATATAATACCTGTACTATCAACTTCATAGGACTCCTGTGAGGAAAATGTTTTTTAACCCTTAAAAGTGCTATACAAATGTGAGTTGTTGTTATTATTACTGTTGTTGCTGTCATTGTTGTTAGCAAAACCCTCTGCTATAACTTCTCTGACAAGTGATTATCAGGTCTCTTCCTTAAGATCTCCAGGGATTGGCAGTTTTCTACTTTCTAAGGCAGCCCAGTTGTTAGTAAGTTTTTTCTTAAATTAAACCCAAATCTGCCTCTTTGCAATGTTCAGCTATTGCTCCTGCTTATTACTTATTGGATCAAGCAAAATCAATTGAATGCCATTTCACAAATTGAGCAGTCTCCCCTCCCTAACCACCACCCCAATAGAATGTAAGCTCTATAACGTCAGGGACCATTTCATTTTCAGCGCATAGCACTGGGTCTGGCAGATAGTAAGTGCATTAGAAACATTTATTGAATTGAATTGATTGAATTTTATTCTATAAGGTAGCCCTTTAAATACTTGTCATATTCTTTTTAAGTCTTTTCCAGCCTAACTACCTCTTGTTCCTTCAACTTATTAGTGCATAGAGAAGCATGGTGCAGTCTAGAGGGCACTGGACTTGGAGTCAGGATGAGATGGGTTCAAATCCTGTCTCAAATATTTACTGACTCTGGGCAAGTTATGAAACTTCTCTCTGTCTCAGTTTCCTCATCTGAAAAATGAGGGGATTAGACTCCATGGCCTTGAAGTTCCCTCCACTCTCCAAATCTGTGATAGAGTTTTTTAGTTTCCTTTCCCTCTCCATTGTCCACCTCTACCTGCTTCAGCTTGTCAGCATTGTTCTTAAAAAGCAACTCAACAATGAAAACAAAATGACTCCAAATACAATCTGACAGTGACAGAATACAGGTTGGTTTCAATTTATGACAAAACTCTAGAATGTGTTATTAAAAGGATGGATTATGAGCATTTAGAAATAGAAGCAATAATCATTAGAGTTCAGAAAACAACTCATTGTCAATTTCAATGAAAAGTCCTCTTTATCAGATTCTCCACTCTCCAGGTGAACATATTCTTCTCATGTCTCATTAGATGCATTATAGTCTTTGCCAAGAGTTCTCATTTCTAAGTACTGATATAGAAGTCCAGATCTCGTTTTCTGACACCATCTTCATAACCAGCTGTTCATTTCTTCAAATAGTTGTTGAATGAAAGGGAAAGTTTGAAAGAACACAGGCCCCCTGTGGGTCACATTGGTTTATTCTCTTAGTTACTGGGTTCTCTTTGTTTCGCATCACACTTGAAACATGCAGTTTTTGTTTGGTGTCGTGTGTGGCATGAATCACAGTGTCCTTGTAAAGCACAGTAATATACAGCCACGTCACTTAGATGCACATTCCTGATGATTAATTTACTGCAGCACTTTTTCCTATCCACATTTATCTGATAATGCCCAGCTTCCGTGATGTCTTGAAATCCGTGATGGACATAAGTGAGTTTCTGATTGGTCTTCTGGAGGTACCAGTAGACAGAGTCATAATTTCCAGCAGGAATGTTGTGTTGGCATTGTAATTCCAAGTCTGATCCTTCTTTGGCCACCTTGTCAGAGGACTGTGTGAATTTGGCGCTGCAGAGATGACCTGGGAAAGGAAAGCAGGAAAATACTCTCACAGGGAGAGAACACAACATTGGGGCTGGTGGGAAATCTATGTCGGGTGCTTTCCAGCTGAGCAGCCACCCACTCACTAGGGGGACACTTACAGAGGACAGGCAGGAGGAGGTAGATGAGTGGTTTCATGGTACACTTGCCAAAGGCTTCAGCTCCCCTCTCGTTGGACACTCACCCAACCATATCCTGCTCACTCTCTCTGCTGTTGCTAGTAAAGTCTATTCTGCATGCAGAGTGCACACAAAACTGCCTTATCTGTAACAACCGCTCAGCCGCTTTATCACTGAAGCAATAAAGGAAATAGGTCTATGGGGTGGTTGGCATTTTACGCTATCGCAAGACACACTCCTGATTGTTCAGAAGCAGCAATTGAATGGGGTCCTTTATGTGAGTCTCTTGTGCATCTCAACCCTTTGGGTCCCATGCTTTCAGCAGATGGTGAGGTTTCCTTATCAGCCTCAAGAGTTTTCTTCTCTGAGAGGAAATTGGAGTGGGGGATGGGCAGGAGTGGAGGGTGTGGATACTCTTTGCTGAATGATAGCTGGTGGGTCATGTCCGGTTAGGTTCTTATTGCTGGATCTTGGGAACCTCAGTTTTGCAATAGTGTGAGGAAAAACAGAGAATATTTGCCCTACCTTGTCTTACACTTCTGTTTTTTTTCCTGTTGCCTGCCATTTTGTCCACCAAGGGAGGTAAAATTTAATTTTCCTGTATGTAAAGGAAGGAAGTTGCTAATATGAGGATGAGAGGGAAGGTTCTGTAGCCTTATAGTAGCCAGGTTGGCCATCTTCTTTACTAATACAATAACAACAACAGTAACAGCAATAATAGCATTTGTATATTGGTTTAAGGTTTGCGAAGCACTTTCCAAATATTATCTCATTTGATCTTCACAAAACCCTGGGAGGTAAGTGCTATTATTATCTCCAGTTTACAAATGAGGAGACTGAGGCAGACAGAGGGTAAGTTGACTCCCTCAGAAGCTTGGCTCTGTAACATTCACAGGACCATAGATTTAGTGTTGAAAGGGACCTTAGTGGTCATTGAATCCAACCTCTTCCTTTTATAGACGAGGAAACTGAGGCTCAGGTAAGTGAAGTGAACAATCAGTCCATAGGCACACAGCTAGTAAGTATCTCAGGCAGAATTTGAACCTAGACCTTCCTAATTCAAAGTCCAAAATTCTCTTGGTTGAAAAAGCAACATATACCAGAAAGGGGAGAGGGCTTGGATTCAAGAGATCTGAGTTTGAATCTCTGATTCAATAGTTACTTGCTGTGTGACCCAGACTAAGTCACTTTACCTTCTCAATCCTCAGGTTCCTGTGAAAAGAACATATACAACTTGTATTCTCTATTTCACAGGGTGGTGGTGAGGAGAACATTCTGTGAACCTCTGAGTGCTATTTAACTGCAAGTTTATTAGTAGGAGTCAGTTGGAGCCAGCTTGAACCAGCTCACAAGAGAGAATTATTAAATTTTCATTGTGAGCATTTACATCTTAGAAATTGGTAAACACTGAAAACCAGGCTTGATTTATTGTTTCATTGATTGTCTAGACGTAAGAAAGTGATGGAGGGAATGTTAATAATACAGATTAAACCTTAAAGTGTATCACATAGGCATTTCCCCCCCTGAGATCTGAATGTTAAATATTTACTAATATATTCCTGGTTGTTAGTTTTATGTGAGAGAGTCCTCATGGGTGACCCTTAGCAAAAATCAACAGAAGAAAACACAGTACAAAATAGGCTGTCTATGATGATGTTACTGCTAATGAAGTCATAACTTCAGACATTCTATTTCAACCTTTGGTAGCTGAAACTCCAGATGGTTGGGGTTACTGGGATGAACTGTTGTGTTTAAGGAGTAGTCAGTCAACTGGGTCATGTGGTTTGAGTGATACTGGGAAGATCTTTACCAAGCTCTTCTGATGCCTGAAATTCTATCATTAGGAGTTAATTATTCTTGTTCTAGGAGGTCACCTTATTAAAATGCATATATCTCTGGGAAGGAAAATACCTTGTCTTTACCACCTAATATCTGCCTAGTAATCTACTTCTGAAATCTAGATTGTGGCCTAATGAGACACAGGAGGGATACCTCTGATATGGGGAGTAGAAGGGTCAGGGGATGGCAAGAAATCTAAAGGTAGGATGGTGCCAAAGATATCTATCTGTCTATCTATCTATCTTTCTATCTATCTATCTATCTATCTATCTATCTATCTATCTATCTATCTATCTATGTGTATACACACATATGTATACATATATTATATACATACATGTATATATGTATATATACATGCATATACATTTCACAATTATGCCAAGGGCTATAATTCTGTTTAGTGAAGGAATTTGGTGGGATGACACTTTACTGTTTATTGCCTAAGCTAATAGGGGAGAAGCGTGGCAGAGTAGAAAGCGCATTGAACCTTAAGTCAGAGGACCTGGGTTCAAATCACACCCCTGATGCATACAACCTTGCAAAGTGAGGGAGTTGGACTACATGTCCTTGGAGGTCCCTTTAAGCTTCAGATCTGTGATCCTGTTGTACCTTCTCAACTGTTTTCCCAATAGGCTGCATCTCATGGGAGCTAATGCCACCTCAGGGGGAGGAAAACCAATCAATTGGCTGCCACTGCCATGCAGTTTTTTCTTTAGTTGGCTTTGCTCTCATGTACAACTTCAGAGCTGATACATCAGGCTCTGACCTTGTCCTAAGATGTACCAAACTGATGCAACCATGACCCATCATGTCCCTCTAAATCAAGAACAACAAAGTCTAGCTCTCCATGAAGACAAAGAGGAACCATATGGAGCAATAACCACCAAAGAGAAAGTAGAATTAAAATTCTAATGTGTCACCCGGGAGGTACTGCTGGTCAATCTCCCCTTCAGCAAACATTTATTAAGTCCCTGCTATATGCAGGTTGGAAGGCATGGAAAGTTTAAACAAGCTCTCATGGAACTCATAATCTATTAGATCAGATGAGGGGGTCAGTCATTCTGTAATCAGACTGAAGATTATTCTTTGGTCTTTATGTTAGGCAAGATGCACGAGAGCCTCTCCTCTGTAGCCCCCTTACACAAACTCTGTGCATGTCATTTTATATCAGCATAGCTACAGGATTTAGAATTTTGTAATAGAGATTTAGAGCTTGAAGGGACCTTGGAGGTCACTTTATCCAGCTTTCTCCTCACCCTCCTACTGTTTGCAGATGAGGAAACTGAATCACAGAGTAGTCAAGTGACTCAGGATGACAGAACAGATGTCTATGGTGGGATTTAAACCCAAGTCCTTCTGACTCTAGGCCTAGCTCCCCACTCACTATACCATGCTTCCATGGCTCTATTCTTTGTAGGCCAATGTTCTCATCTATAGGTCTCCAAGCTTTTTTGTCTCTAGATTTATGTTTCTGTATCCATCTGTGTTTTTCAGGAGATATGTATAGACCAAGGGTGGGGAACCTGTGGCCTTGAGGCCACATGTGACCCTCTAGGTCCTTGGGTGCAGCCTTTTAACTGAGTCCACATTTTACAGAACAAATTCTTTTATTAAGGGGATGTATCTGTTCTATGAAGTTTAGATTAATCCAAAGGGCCACACTTGAGGACCTAGAGGGTCACAGGTGTAGATTCTTTGAGAAAAGTAATAGTAAGCCTTTAATAGGTCACTTAATCTCTCAGGGTGCTAATTTCCCCACATGTTCAAGAGAGAGAAGAATCCAGTAGACTATAAGCTCTTTGAAGGCAGAAATTGCTTTTTTGTTTGCTTCTATATTCCTACATAGTATGCCCCTAATAATTGCTTGTTGAATGAATCCTGACTCTTATCTCTCCCGCCACCTGAGGCAGCTAGGTGGTGCAGCGGATAGAACACTGGGCCTGGAGTTCAAATCCAGCCTCAGATCCTTGCTAGCTATGTCATCCAGGGCATGTCTCTTAAACTCTGTTTGCCTCAGTTTCCTCAATTATAAAATGGTGATAATAATAATGCCTACCTCCTAGGGTTGTTGGGAGGATCAAATGAGATACTATTTTCAAATCACTTAATACAGTGCCTAAGACACAGTAGCTACTTAATAAATGCTTATTTTCTTCCTTCATAAGGTATGAGGAAATTTAATTTCTGCTTTGAACTTTTTGCTATGGATGCTTTAAGTGTTTAGGGGTTATTTTTATGAGTATGCCACCTACCCCTTCCATTTCAGACCTTGTTTCGAAGTCATCCTAAAGACAGCCAACAACACCCTTCTGGAAACAAGATCAGTGCTGTCTTCTGGCTCACTTCCATTTCCTGCCTTGCTACCTTTTTAGCCTGTGGGCTAGAGGCAATGCATTGCTGTCTATGAGGATAGCTAGCACACCTGTATCTACATATGTATGATTTGTCACTCCTCTGTGTAAGCTTGTGGTATCTTCGGATCAGCACGTATTTACCTATTTCCAACTCCCTGAAGGTGGGAGGAAGAAAAGAGAATAATTAAGACAATTCCCCTACTTTATAATCCATTAATTCCCCTCTCTCTGTCTCTTTCTGTTTCTTTCAGTTATACACACATACCTTCTGTTGCATCATTGGTCATAAGTAGGGCATCCAGGCAAGAAGCAAAGGCAGGTTTCGATGCAGCTAGTTGGGGTGATGCTATCAGTGTCTTCTCTCCAAGAAACAGTCAGTTGTACACTGCAGTCCTGATCCTGGGGCTCTAATGGATAACCTGGCAGAGGCTGAATGGGCCTTGGAAGAGAACTCTTCCGGGAGAGTGGTGACATGTCACTGATTGTGAGCCCATTAGCTTCTACCTAGAAAATGGAAACTGCCTCCTTTGCAGATGACAACTAGGGAGATAGCCTTCTCGATGTCCCTGGGGTTAATATCATAGCAGCTGAGAGTCACTGTCTCTCTGGGGGTGCCCTAATGGAGATGTTCAGAAAAGCTGGACCCAATCTCCCCACATAGCCTCTGCAACACAAAAGAGCAAGTTTGACAGATAATGAATGACTGGGCCTGACTTAAGCTAGTAGCAGAAGGTGTAGGATGGGATTGTGCTTAAGGTAAGAAAAAATTCCGTTTATGAAGTGCCTTACAATCTCCAGAGTGCTTCCTTTAATCAACCCTACAAGTTAGGTGGTGCTAGTATATGGAGCCTCATGTTTTTATAGATGAAGAAAAAGAGACAAGATGATTTGTGTAGGCCCTAGAGAGTGTTGGAATTAATGTCTCTCACCTGGGCTCCAAGTGAATAGCAGGATGCTGGACTCTCTCTTTTTCTGAGAGGCCTGTATGGTCTAAGGTCTGAAGAGTACATTCAGCATCAAGCCTCGACTGAGGAGCTGCTGGTGGGGAGACCTCCAAGGTGATTCATCTCCCTGAGTCCTAGACCTGGAGATTCCTGGGTGGAAGTTGGGTGTGCAGCTGGTCCTTAGCTCTGTGCAGAAAGAAATTCTCCACATTTCCTGTTTCATTGCATTGGATGTCACTCTTGTCTATTGGCTAAATTTAATGACAATGTTATGAGAATGAAGCCTGGTGATTCTCTTTTAGGACCTTCCTAGTCATATCCTTAAGGCATCTGGAGGGAGAACAAGGTTTAAAATCATTCAGCGGATGCT